TCTCCCTCTGACCCTCCCCCCTCTCATGTGCGCTCTCTCTCAGTCTCTCTCTCTCAAATAAATAAATAAAATTAAAAAAAAAAAAAGGAGTGGTATATTACAAAGAATAGCTGGAACATCCTAAGTACAAAACTTGGACAGAGAAAGTTGCAGAAATCTTTGATTTGATCATCACCTTTATCCCAGTTTGCTGACTACTTTTAGAGTCCACAGGTGACATAATCATTTTTCACATGGTAAGATTTAAAAGTTACTGATGTCCTAAAGACTCTTACAAGTTATAATTATGTGGACTTATGGGCCAGTATTAAATACAGCTCTGATCAGAGCACAGGACTTTAGTTAAAAGGCCTCTAGACCCTGCTTTTTATCACAACTCAGGCTAAGCTAAGCTAGTCCCTTTTAACCAAACTCCCAGATGCATAACAGCTGTGAAACAGGCTTTTCCTTTAATTCTGCCAGTCTACACTTAAGTTGTAGACTGTAATAAAATGTAACATAGGCCCTGAAGTCTAATTCCGAAACCTTATAAATTAGACACCTAGAACTCCATGATAAATAGCTTAGTAATGACTATTTGGTTTTGTTGTTGCTTTAAATAAAAATCATAATTTAGACTAATTTTCCAGTTCTTCTCCATATAGCCCTGTGGATTCCTCAGAGGTACCTGTGAAAAGGTAGAAAAGAGCATACTCCAGTCTCCTCTACCTTCATTTGACCTCCAACCAGAGCGGCTCTACATTTATCTGTTAAGAAATGTTGGACTGCCTAGTATACAAATATTAGGAAACTACTGGCCTAGACTTCCTATTTGATCTTGGCTTTTTTTTTTTTTTAAAGGATTTTATTTATTTATTTGACAGAGAGAGAGAGAGACGGCATGAGAGGGAACACAAGCAGGGGGAGCGGGAGAGGGCATATGATCTTCCCACTGAGCAGGGAGCCTGATGCAAGGCTCGATCCCAGGACCCTGGGATCATGACCTGAGCCGAAGGCAGACGCTTAACAACTGAGCCACCCAGGTGCCCCTGATCTTGGCTTTAAAATAAGTAACTTTTCCTAGGCAAATAAATTCATAGAGAAACATGAAATCAGGAAGAGCTATTAACTAATATAGATACTTCCATGATCTCTTTTCCAAACAAAATATTCTTGTTTTATAAATCTGAGTTGACTACTAATATGTGTGTGCATATAATTTAAAAATGGGGGGATTGATTTTCATATAAAATCATTAAAATAAAT